CAAGTGGAAATCTCAGTCGACTACTAAGCTGACCAATCATGCATCCAATATTTGTTGAGACCCCATTAGGTATCAGACACTCCACAAGAGGCTAGGGATGTCGGAGTAGCTAAGTAGCCATGTAGCATGAATACCTAGGGGGAGACCGCCCAGGGTACTGGCCAGGCCTGCACAGCAAGATGGCCTGAGGCTCGCACTCAAAAACTCACTTCCATTGGATTGATCCCAACTCATAGACCCTATAGGCCAGGGTAGCACTGCCTCCATGGTTTCTAAGACTGGAACTCTATATGGGAGTAGAAAGCCTGGTCTTTCTCCTTGTGGAGCGGCTGGCGGTTTCCAGCTGCTGATTTTGCCGGTAGCAGCCCCTCACATACCTTCCATGCCACCAGGGTTCATCTGGCCGGACCCTGGGCAGAGGCAAAGTTGGGACAGAGAGAAGAAAACAAATCTGAGAGGTGGCTGGCAAGTCGGTCTGAGACAGTCGGTCCCACTGACTAACTGAACATGATGGGGAGGAAGGGACACGTGAGAGCCACTGTGTTTGGGTTCACCTTCCAGGGGGTGCCACTCACCGGGTGGAGACCTGGGGGGAGGAAGCCACCTTGGGAAGAGAGAACCTATAGTCAGTTTTAGGCATGTTGAGTTTGACGTTTTGAAGGCAACCCAAGTGGATTGGCCAAGAAAGCAATGAGAAGGAGGCTCAGACCCAGGATGGGAATATGGAAGGTGTGGCTAATTGCCTCCAAAAACAAGTAACGGTCTTCTTTGCCAAGAGATGAGAACTAGACGGTGCTCAGCTACCATCACTGACCATTTTGATCAAAGATTTCACAGCAGAATCTCGCTAAAAAGGTGGGGAATGTGGAACGTTTTCAAATCCTCATGGAATCCGTATCTTCTGGATGAACCCTTGAAAGGATTGCCCTGGCTTCATCTTTGAACCAAACGCCAAAAGTATTTCCCAAAGACATCTTTACACCAAACAACAGTTCGGACTAGTAAGGAATGTTGGCCTGGAACATCGTGCTCTTCGGAACTAGCCACATGGGATCCAACAGCAATGGCCAGCTGTGTGTGTGTGAATGGAGGACGACCAGCTCAGAAGTGGCGCAGGAGAATGGTCCCGCCACTTGAAGAATGTAGTCAGTGCCACTACAGGGTACACGTAGGAACCGTTGAATTGGTATATGTTTGCCGTGCGTATTCTCAGTGACAACAACAAAAAGAGTAAACTAAGTTTGAAGAAGAAAGCCACTGTCGACTTGGGTCTGAAGTCCGGCTTGAAGAGTCAGAGTTGAGTTGTTCTTGCTGTGAGGGGCCATCACATCGGTTCCAACGCACAGGGACCCTCTGCACGACAGAAGGAGATGTTGCTCCTCCCTACACCCGCCTCGCAATCGGTGCTGCTTCTGAACCCGTCGTTGCAGCCTCAACCCGCCGTGTTGGGGGCCTTCCTCTTTTCTTGGGACCCTCTGCTTTGTCAAGCACGATGGCCTTCTCTAGCCACTGGTCTCTTCATTGAAAAAAACAATCATTTTATTGGGGGCTCGTACAATTCTTAGCACAATCCATCCATTGCGTCAAGCACATTTGTACATTTGTTGCCATCATCATTCTCAAAACATTTGCCTTCTACTTGAGCCCTTAATATCGGGTCCTCATTTTTCCCCCTGTCTCCCCCCTCCCTCATGAACCCTCCATAATTCATAAATTATTATTATTATTATTATTCATCGTTGCTACCCTGCACCCTGATGGCTCATCTCCTCCCCACAACCCTTCATTAAGGGGGTGTCCAGTTGCCTACTGATGGGCTTTGAGTCTCCACTCTGCACTCACCCTCATTTACAATGATATGATTTTTTGTTCTTTGATGCTTGATACCTGATCCCTTTGACAGCTCATGGCACACAGGCTGGGCGTGCATATATTTATAGGTTTAGTATTAAGGCAGCTTTGTTGCTTCTGAGCTAGCTGGCCAACTGCTTGTTTATCTTCAAGCCTTTAAGACCCCAGACACTATATCTTTTGATAGCTGGGCACCATCAGCTTTCTTCACCACATTTGCTTATGTACACATCTGTCTTCAGCAATCGTGTCAGGAAGAAGGTGTGCATCTTGGAATGCCAATTTAATAGAACAATGTGTTATTGCATTGAGTAAGTACTTGAGTGGAGGCCCAATGTCCATCTGCTGCCTTAATACTAAACCTATAAATATATGCACGTTGCTATAGTTCTCCACCATCCTATATAAATATATTTACATATGTACATGCCTGTATTTAGACCTCTATAAATACCCTTTGTCACCTAGTTCTTTCCTCTATTTCCTTTTACTTTCCTCTTGTCCCACTATCATGCTCAGCCTTCATGCAAACTCATCTGCCCACGAAGAAAAACCCCTTTCTCTGAGCGGGTGGAAGGAAAGGCATGGGGAAGGGAGGGAAAGAGGGCTGGTGGCCACTTGCAGACCACTCCATAGGTGCTGAATGGCATTTGGCTCAGCGGCTGGTTTTTGTTATCTTTTTGTATGTCCCATCTCACCTGCCCTTCCTACAAGGTGACAGTGACAAGTCCCATTGAGAGGTGGGATCTTCTGCTTCCTCAGAACTGGCTAGACCCCTAGAATGGGACAGAAGCGATGCTGTGTGACTTCTGAGACTAGATCAACGGAGTTCCCCCCTGCTTGGTCCCTGGGCCCTGGAAACCCAGCCTCCTGAAGAGACCACATGTGGGTGTGGTAGCCAAGAGCCTAGCCAGGGCCTCAGCCAGTGGCCTGCACCCACTGTCAAACGTAGGTGTGAACAAGCCCTTCCCCTGGTGCCCTGTCTGAACTCTTGCCCCCCAGATATCAGGAGATAATAGTGGTCACTACTGTTTTCAGCCGCTACATTTTGACGTGATCGGTCATGTCGCACTAGGTAACCACCACAGCCTGTTAGTAGAGCGAGCGAAAGCAGGGGCCTCAACAAACTAGGATCAGCTTGATGGCAGAAGGCTTCAAGGTTGTGGTTTTTAAACAAACTAGAGTCGCTACGAGTCAGACTCAATTCCATGGCAGTGAAGTTTTGTTGTTGCTCTGTTTGTTTGTTTGTTTGTTTGTTGCTTGGAGAACTGTTTTTTTGTCCTCGCTGGAATCTGGAGTAGCCAGTGCAGGACTCGGGCCTGATATGGAGTCTCTCGTGGTGTCCTCCGGAGCCCAGAGTCTTCATCTTGTTGCTCCCGTTATCCTCAACCCAAGGCGGCTCCCCTTCTCAGGATCCAAAAGAGCTGCTGCCGTGCCGCCTATCACACCTGCATTCCAGGCGGGAGGAGGTGGAGTGGACTGTTCCTACTTCAGGAGCATCCCTGGAATGTCTTCCAACACCTACTGCTTCGATCTCCTGGCCCAGAATGAAGTCCCAGGGACACACCGTATGTGCAAAGGAAACCGCCTGTGTGCCTTTTCGCCGGGCTTACTGTCATCTCAAACACCAACCAACTGCTCGTGAGGAGGGGGAGGACAGTGACCAGCGGTCAGTCGGTGGCTATGGGGGGAGAGAGGAATGATAGAAGAGGGGATTCTTCCTGGGGAGGGGGGCCCTCCCCACCCACTCTGGCCTCCCTGGATGCAGCAGCATTTTTCCACCCAAGTTGCTCTAAGCAAAGAACCGATTTCTCTCCCAAAGAGGCGAGGCAGTCAGGCTGATGGGCAGAGAAAGCTCTGGTCTCTAGCCACACCCAACCCAGGCAATTGGACGTTGCTAGGCTGTCACAGAAAATCCTGACCACATCACCACCCGCTCAAACACCATCCTCGGCCCCAGCTTAGAGAGGAATTCTTGGGTCGACTAGTGAAGGTTTCAGCCAACCTGCCAGGGCTCCTTGGCACTGCTCTTTAATTTCGCATGCCCCCTCCTTGACTCTGCTCCTGCAGCCCCCCCACCACCACCAAGAGCATCCTCTCCCATCTCTGGAATCCCATCCATTTTCAGCCCTCATGGCACCTTTGCCTAAACCAGGATGCCCTTTCTCCGGGGGATGCCGTATGCCAGGCCTGAGGGTTGGAACACAGCTGTAATCCACTGCACTTAGCACTCCATGGTTTCAGGCTGTGAACACCCTGCGCATGTGCTAATGCCACTTCCAGGACCCTCTCTGGGCCCCCCTTGGGCTTTGGCAAGTTTTCTTGGCTCTCCGTGCCTGCCTGCCTGCGATCCTTAGATAATCTTATGTCTGCTGGAAGATAGATACAGGTGTAGTGGGGGGAGCCAATCAGGTCAAAGCCTGATGCTGTCTCCTTGAGGGGAGGGGTGGCCTTCTTCTAAGGAGGACCTTAGGCCTCTCCCCCTCTCTTTATCCCACTGACCCTGAAGCTGCCGGAGTCTAGCCCTGTTTCTATCCACCTTGGATCCATGGGACTCTGTACCCACCCGGCTGGTGATCTTCCTGCAGTCTGTCACGGCACGTGGCGATGTGCGTCTGAAGAGGGACGTAGGGGCCAGTATCGGACTCGAGTCAGACCGGGCTGGGACATTTCCTGGATTTATAATTACTCCTTGATATAAAGCTTGTCCCCAGTGTCGTAGGGATTGTTTCTTTGGTCAGCCCAACTTCACATACTGCCCTGGATGGGGACTCCACGTTACCAGCTCTGTGTCCTCGAGCCACCCTGGGGACTGCACCCCCTGCCACAGGCCATGGGGACCACTCTTTATACTCGGTCCTCAGGACCCTCCCCCAACCCAGAGCTGGAGGAGGGGCAGCAACCTTGGACAGCTCCTTAGTTATGGCACAGGCCCCAGGCCCTGTCTAGGAGTCAGAACCAGCCACTTTCTGCTCAGAGAAACCCCATGCTGGGCCTCAGAAGACCCCGCATGGGGAGGGAGCACCCCACTGTACTTCCCCCGCTCCCAGGAACAGGGCAGCCCTACTCTGTGTCCTTCCCAGAACTCAGCCTAGGCCCCTGGCCTTGTGGCCCTGGTGGCTTTGGCTGTCAGGAAGGCAGGAGACAGCTTTGTGAGGTTTTACACCATTTATTGTAGCTCCGCTTGTCTGCCTCCTCCCTCCCCCACCGGCCCCTGAGAGGGGGTAGATGCCCCAGTTGGAAGGGAAGGGATGACACTCTCCTCCCTGGGGTAAGGTGGGGTCCCCAAGTCGGGACCCACTGAGGGGAGAAGCGGGGGGTTTGTCTGGGAGGAGTGAGAGGGTTGTTCAAAGGGTTGTGGGTGAAACCGGGCCTCTTGGCTGCCCTTTGGCCTCCGGAGGTCTCCGGTGAAGAGCAGAGAAGTCTGGGGCGATGGAAAGACAAAGCTTGTGGTGTATGGGGTATGGGGGTGGGGTGGGGTGTCTGTACAGCTGAGAAAGATGGAGGGAATTTGGTAGGGAGGACAAGCTGAGGTCACTTGAGGGGGGAGGGTGGCCCTGAGGAGGAAGCCGGGCTCTCGGGGGGTGCACGTGGGGGTGCAGCAGGCAGCAGAGGGTACAGTAAAGGGGGTTGTGCTCCAAGAATTAGGCCCCAATGGGTGAGAGGGCAGGTGGGGAGGGGCGTGTCAGGGGAGGAGCATGGGAGTTTTGGTGGGTAGTGGGCTGGCACCCCCATCACCAGCGCTTTAGCTTCAGGGGGTCCAGCCCGGCTCGGCAGGGCCCCAAGCCACCACTCTGTGCTTCTGAGTTGCTGAAGGGCTCAGCCAACAAGAGCCCCAGGGAGCCCTCAGCTGCAGGCCACAGCTGTCCCCAGGGCTTCCCCCCCATCCTAGGCATTCTGGAAGCTTCTCCCTGCCCAGCGTGAGAGACATGCCCTCTCTCCACCACCTGCCCCTCCACCCCCAGCCCCACCACACACCAGATTACCTGCCATCAGGGGGTGGAGCACGGTGGTGCCAGGGTTGGTTCAGGGACCCAACCGAGGAGCTGTCCTCCCCCCACCCCCACGAGTTACGGGGCTCTGTGTGAGCACCCGCCCTGCCCCCACGTGTGTGCCTGCTCTGTCTCTATTTTGCTTCAGACCGTGACCACTGGGGCACGGAAACCCACGGGGGGAGGGGGATGGTGGGGAGGTGCCACCGTGGGGCCCAGGGGCTGTCAGAGAGCCCCCTGGCCCTCACCCTGGCAGCCGCTGTCGCCGTGCACAATGAGCACCGGGAAGTACAGGGCGTCCTCGTAGCACGGTGGGCTCTCCAGGGGCTCCGTGTCCTCTCCACGGCGCCCCAGAGGGCCCCCGCTCAGGCTTCGGAAGACCCCGGGCGTGGCCCGGCCGCCGGCGCCCAGCGAGAGGCGGCTGCGGCTGAAGGGCAGGCGGGGGCCGCTGGGCCGGGCCGGGGGCAGCGAGTTGCTGCTGACCGAGCGGCGACAGCGCTGGCAGCCCCGCAGGTAGGCGCCCGAGCCGGCGTTCATGACCACGGCCTCGGAGTAGCTGGGCACCAGCTGGCGGTTGGAGCAGATGTGCCACTCGAGCTCGGTGAAGTCCACCGTGGCCACTCGGGAGAGCGGGGGCCCGCTGGGCACGGCGCCGGGTGGGGGCGAGCTGGCGCCAAAGAGCTTCTCCACCTGGTAGTGGACGTGCGCGGTGCCGTAGGCCGCCACCACCCGCAGGGGCCAGGACAGCGTGGCGGCCGACACCAGCCAGAAGACCCAGGCCCGCGCGTACCAGGGCGGGCTGCGGGGGTCGGCGAAGACCATGAGCGAGTCGCGGAAGTCCACGTCCTTCAGGTGCATGCCCTCGCGGGCCTCCAGGTAGTCGTCCAGGCCCTCGTTGGCGCCGAAGAAGCGGGCGCGCTGGGTCAGGTAGGAGGCCTCGGCCTCGGCGCTGCCGAAGCTGAAGCACTTGGTGAAGCGCAGCCGCGTGGCCGCGTGCTCGGCCAGGCCCACCAGCTCCTTGGACACGTCGCGGACGCCGTGGGCCGAGTAGTCGAACTCGCCGCGCGCCGTGCGGCTGTCGGCCCGCTCGTGGTAGACCTGCGTGGTGGTGTAGGCGTCCCCGTTGCGGTAGCGGGTGATCTGGCGGGTGCGCCGCACGTAGTGGTAGCTGGTGGCCTTCCACCAGACGCAGGGCGGGGCCTGCTGCAGCCGGCGGATCAGCGCCAGCACCGTGTGGGCGTCCGCGCGGGGGGCCTGGCAGGAGCGCACGTGGCAGTGCCAGCACTCAGCCAGGTAGAGGAGGTAGAGGAGCGAGACGAAGGCCAGAGGGATGTACAGGTAGCCATCGGAGCAGGGGCTGGCCGGGTAGGTGGGCGGCGGGCCTCCGGCCCCACGGGCCAGTGCGGCCTCGGGGCCCAGGACCAGCCGAGGCACGGTGGCCAGGCGGCACCAGGCCACCACGGCGCCGCAGGCGTGGATAAGCAACGTGAGGAGTAGGCACTTCCAGTGCGACTCGCGGCAGAGGGAGCTCCCCAGCGAAGGCTTCAGGGGCCGCTGCTGCAAAGGGGCGGGGCAGAGAAGGGGGTTCGGCGTCAGCAAGGGGGCTATGAGGGCACGCCTTATAGAAGTGGAAACTGAGGCTCCGAGGGGTCTCCTTTCTGCCTCACTCACTCAGAGTGGAGCTCCCCTGAGCCTGCTGCCATGACAAGATGCTCTGTAGAGGGCACCCAGGCCCTCTCTGCCAGAAGGGAGGGCCCCAGGCCAGCACTCAGGAACCTGACTTCTGGACCCAGTTCTGCTTACGTCCTGTCCCTCTCTGGGCCCTGGTTCCTGGCTTTGGTGGCCTGGGGTCCAGGGTGGCAGGGGTCGGAGGGGTGGACACAGGTGCTTAGGAACCCAACTGCGTGGAATCTGGTGCTGTCGGCACCACTTACTGTCTGGCTGGGGCGGGTCCCTCATCCTCTCTGGGCCTCAGGTTCCTCAGCTGTGAACTGGGGTTGTGGTGGAGTCAAGGAGATGCTGGGTGTGAAGATCTTAGCACAGGCTCTGGCCACCGGAATAAATATGATCACTGTCACCCCACCATCCGTTTGGGCCCTTGGAGTTCCTGGAGTTGGCTGAAGACTCAGGAGAGGCTTCTAAGTAATCAAGAAAGTGGGAGAGCTGGGAACGGGGGAGGTGTGAGTCTTGGGGGGTAGGGAGCAGATGGAGGACCTTCCTCCACTCCTCATCTGCGGGGTGGGGGTGGGGGGCGCAGACAGCTGCCGGGTATAGCTGCTGGTCCTAGGGTCTTAGCCCAACTTCCTTGGCAGGACCACCAACCTGGCCTCCACTACAACCCTAGTGGCCCATAGTGAGAGAAGCAGTAGTGGGAGTGAGGGTAAGGGGGAGTCTAGCGGAAACAGCAGAGGTGGGTTTAGTGGCCAGCTGTCCCATCTCAATCCCATCAGGCTTTGAAAGGAGCCAGCCCCAGCCCAGGACAGTCTGTAACCGTGGCCCACACCACAGAGGCACAGAAGCACAGAGGTGTACACACACACACACACATACACACACCCCCCCTCATCAGATGCCCAGAAGCTTGCTCATCACCAGACTCACCTGCCCCAGGAAGTATACCTGCCTGTTCACCGGAGCCACACGATGCCTCAGATCCTCACTTGTTCACAGGGCACACATGCACACATGTGTGGGCACCCCCCCCTTACAGGGCAGGCATGCACATACGTTACACAGACACCCCAGACCTTCACCTGACCATCGTGTACACCCCCCACAGCCCACTGCCTCTCCTCTGAGACCCACCCAACACACACACACACACACACACACACACA